CCTTACACCAATTCGAACTCACGCTTCTCGTCGATCTTGCTATCCACGCTCAATCCGGCTACGTTCTACCACTATGGAGCTTAGCTACTCCGCCAAGTCTTGTGGTGACTACTGCCGATGAAGCGTTATAACCTGTTCCAGTCCGTCCGCCGTCGCTGGTGATGTTAACCATTATTAATCATGGCAATGTCAACAGTTGGGCCTAACGGCGGCTGAGTAGACGGCGCTTACTAATGCTTGCCTCACGGTAGCTATCGCCATCGGTCTACTTCACTGCGCGTGAAGCGGTCCTGTATTGTGACCACCTCCAACAGAAACAGACCCCTCTCAGACGTGAGGCGTAAACCGTAAACCTCAGTAAACCGACAGCGCAACCTGTTCCCAGGACCTGCCCGCCGCCTTTCCGACACCGCCTCATCACTACTACCCGGACAGGGACGGCAGACCAGTCGCTGCAGAGTCAATAAGGAGACAACCCTCTGCCCAGGGCCCGATGGCAACTCCCAAGATCCACACCCCTTTCTACTGTGCACGGAACGGCCGAAACAGTCATGAGTGTGGCGTCTTGCACTCATCATTGTTGAGTAACATGACTTAATCGTACAACTGTCTTGTTCTCATTTTTGGACTTCAACATTTGGTGATCGTTTTGTTGATCTTACGGTTCTATTTTAGCTAGGTGGTACGTATTTGTCTGAAATCGGGCGCGAAAGAACTCTGTATTGTTTTGTCACAATCCAATAAAGCTTCCTTCAGCATCCAAATCCCAGTTCCCGATTCAGTGGTGTCGGCCAATCGGTGTCTGCGTTCATCGCTGACCCCAAGTCTTTCGCGGCTCTGATTCTGATGACAACGCCAAAAATGAGACGTTTCTAGGTCGGGCCAACGTCACGTCACCACTAACCCTCCGTAACCTGGCGTGAACCAATGAGTCACCATCAAGTCCGAGTTCCCATTCGAATGCGTCCAGGTCCCGGATCCCAATGTCTGTAGAACAAAAGTCTTCAAACGGTCATCGCGAACAGCGGAGCGCCCGAGTCGGACGGCCTCCAGATCGATTTAGCCCATGACTGCCATAGCTTGGTGCATAGCAAGAATTCATGGTGTATTTGCATTGTTTGTGTTAACATGTTGTTTAGGTTAATTGCAATGACGTCCTGGATATCATTTAAGGGCCCCCTGACTCTGCACGTTAAGTTAGGTTCGTGGGATGTGTTCATTATGGCATGGATTTTTTCATTATGTCATGATTGAATTATTCAACTAGGAGGGCCTTCTTCTTTTAAGAAGGGTGTAGTGCAAGGTGTCAGAGAACACCTGTGTGCGAGCCAGTGAACGTTTGCGCAGTTTGACGAGCGATGCTTTGAGGCGCCCGCGTTCCCCTCCGGCCCCAGGAGCCCCGCGTGAGGGACGCGGCCGTGAGGACCAGGAGAGGAGGTAGTAACAAGAAGATTCTGAGAGCCGCCGGCGCGAGGACGTACGTGCCGGCGGGACGTATTGTGACGAGTGTCAAGTGTAGAATTTACTTTGGACGTACTGTGTGTGCCAGTGAGCCGGAGGCGAGACACCGGAACAGCAGAACTTACACAAATGTGAAACGTCCCTCAGTCTAAGATTGGATTGAATGGGAGAAAGAGAGATTGAGAATAAGCCGCTGTCCCTGTTCTGTGACAGCCAGCTTCCCAGCCTATGTAACCAGGGCATATTTTAAAATATCCTCATGGGGCCATATATAATATGCAACCATGTGCGCTTGCGTGGAAGCACAAGGCTGCATGCAGATAATTGACCAGTGTATTGGCAGCAGTATACGCATACGCGATCACTTTCGTGAGAGACATACACACATACAGAAGATCTGGTGCAACTGGCGCCGGCTCATAACATCAGAAGGCGATGCCAGCCTACAGACAGCATGTGCATTCTGACGGAAGTACAAGAGCAGCATGCAATTAGCCTGTATTGTCCAGGCTGCGGCCGTACATAGCGAGAAAATCAGAAGTTTGCCTTCCAGGGTACAGACAGGCACTCGGTTGACGCGTGCCATCAATGTTGACATTTCTGTTTTCTGTCTGCTGCTTCCTCCAGCAACTTCTTACAGGATCCCAGGGCCCTCATAATAGGAATATGCCTAGGGTCACACTGCATGGTTCATGCAGATATTTTCACCGCTGCTGTACATGCACTGTCAAGAACAGTCAACACTTATAATTGTCCTTCCAATTACCGGCATGTGAGCCTTCTCGCCTTCTCGTTTTTCAAATGGTGTATTTTTGTCTGGTACGATGCACCACCTTATGATGAGTTCGGCCTCCTTTTTTCCTAACAAAGGGGTCTCTCTCCACAGTGGCGAACTTTCGCTCAACGAAGCTGTCGTCTGGCACCAGCTATCGTGTTCTCGCGAAGTGAGGTGAAGCCAAACGCTCAGGTAGTCGTCCCCCCGCGCCCGAGACATGAACCACGCTCACGTGGAGCGTGTTCCCTGTTCCGACGGCTGTCCGGGTTCCCCGTGACCAGCGCGGTCGCCAGCACACTGCCTTGACGAGCATTCGCTTGTACTCTTCCTTCATTTTCGGGCAGAGCAGAGCCAGGGCCCAGCCATCCGTCATCATGCTGATCAGTCGTAAAAAGGTGGTGACTTGGTGCACGGCTGGTATGTGCGCCAGCTCCAGAGCCTGAATCAAGTTCACAACCGAGTTTGGAAGGATGAAGAGTAAAAACATCAAAGACATAATGGCAATCGCAAAGTAACCCTGATGCTTGTACAGGTTTTGCCTTGCTTGATTATTCACAGCCGCGCGCTCTCGCTCGATTCGTCTTCTCTGACGCAAGCCAACGCACCCGACCCACACGTTGATACACAAGCTGGACAAATAGATTAAGATGACAAAGAAGGACATGGTTATGCGAAACAACGGTGGAATGCACTGCCAGTGGTCGCAGAGGTCTATCGCGCCGACTCCCAGCCAACCGCGAAGCGTCATGCCAAAGACCGAGAGGAGCGCAGCGGTGAGCCAGGAGGCGGCGACCAGCAGCAGTTGCCGCCGATCCGTGACGATGTCGAAGTAGCGCATGCCGTGGACGACCGTGACGTACCTCTCCAGACTCAGCATCAGGAACGAGACGACCGTGGACGTGGCGATCGAAGCCCTGGAGAACACGAGTACCAGGCAGACCCAGCCGGGCGGCAGCGCGTGCAGCAGCCGCAGCGAGCCCAGCAGGGTCGAGATGGCGCCCACGGTCATCTCGGCGGCGGCCATGCTGGCCAGCAGCTGGTACATGCACGCCTCGCGGAGCTGCCGCCGCCGGAGAATGGCCACCACGGGCACCGCCGAGCTGGTGAACACGATGAAGCCGATGATGGCCTCTGCTGCGGCGGACATTGTGCCGAGTCGAGGAGCGACGGACGAGTGGCGCGTGCCCGGCGTCGGCTAATCAACTGGCTGCTGCGCGGGCGTCCCGTCGCTGGGGCAACGCGATGTTGGTGCACTCGCATTTGACGCACACTCTTCGGGATGCCCCCAGCTGTCTCACATGTCAATGTCCGTCTAGTGATGACAGCGTGCAGTGATTGCTTGGCTAATAGGGTCGTTACCGAGCACCGTTTCCTGCGAAGACCTTGGCCTCAACGCTCCAGTAGTCCAGTCCCACTTCGGTGAGTTTCGGCCGAAATTTTAGCGCGTCACTTACTGGATCAACAGGTTCCAAATGAACATTATAGACTATCATTATATACTATATAATAGCATAAATGTAATATAATGCTAATCGCGCCATTTCTCGGACGCGAACCCGTACTTGAGACACGCGGCGGGTTAACGACCCCCGCGCTCCTCCAACTCAGCCATCCCGGCCATCGTATCTATACCGCAAACTGAACGAGCTCAACTCGGAATCCGCTCACCAGGCTTATCTTGAAGTCAATGTAGGGAGAGGCGGGCTTTTAAAAACGGAAGTTCTTGATTTTGACATAACAGTCAAGCGAAGAGAGACTGTAACATGAAACTCGTAGAAAGTATCTTCAAATACACACCTCACGTGATAACCATATGCGTCGTAGGTCGTCCAGGGCAGCGCCACAGTGGCGTAGAAAGCTTGATCGGTGCTGTTCCTGCCGTTTGCTACGCTGTCGTGTTGTTACGCGACGCCGAAAGGTCCAAATGGGACGACAGGCTGATGTCAAGGATTTGTGCCTCAGTACACGTGCCGTGCCAATGCAGCATGTTCCTGTCTGATTCGACCGACAGGTCAGCTGGAATCGGCATTTGCGAACTTCGCTGACATCGTCCCAGCCGGGAAAGGAAATATCAAGGTTAGTTACGTTTAAGCCATCGATTTCTTCCTCACGAGATAAGCGAACGTTTTAACGTAACTTACACATAACCTTGGTGCCGATCTACTTTGTGTACTATCGGAATCTAACATGATGCAGCAAATATCTGGAGTTATTTCAAGTGGGAAGTGCGGGAAAGTCGCATGATCGATGCGGTCTAATATAAGCTTTGATCTCGTAAGTTGTTGAGTACATTTGCGAGGAGCATTATGCAAACAGATGAGACAGTAGTAACAGCCGTATTCCTCCTAGAAACCAGAAGCATGGACACACACACACACACACGCACACACACACACACACACACACACACACACACACACACACACACACACACACACACACACACACACACACACGCAGATATATATATATATATATATATATATATATATATATATATATATATATATATATATATATGGATGCGTTGACAGCGATATGCGAGAGGCGAGAGAAAGGCACCTGCACAAAACGCGATGCGATAGATTTATGCGTTTTAACGCATCGATCCCGCCACTCTCCTGGTTGTACCGAGAATAAGGCTACTACTACCGTCTTAGCTACAAGCCTTGAGCTCGACTTCGCCCGCTGAGTCTGTTGCAAATGCTTGTATGTGGACCTTTGCTTCGATCATTTCCCAAGATACGTCAGAGCAAAAAACAGATCGTTTTCGGACGGACGTGTATGTCGGGACTCTCAGCACGTACGAGGCGTGGTACAATACAGCATGGCAACTTCGCATCCTGTTTGTGTTCATTTATATGACCTTAAAAGAGCGAAAGAATACATAATTTAACTTTGTGGTCCTCCGCGTTTACCCCTCGAGGCCCAATCGTTCGCTCAAGGAAATAATGATGCAAAGCCGTATGCTAGCTATTTCAGATCACAGCATAATGCAAAGAATCCCTCCGGCCAAACTTAATACAAATTGTAGCGCTTTGCAACCAAAACCTGTGTCTTGCTTTTGCACACGAGACTGTCCAAAGGGGCCACTTATCCTGCAATCAATAAAATGATCGCCAGCGACATAACTACTTCTAAAATCAGGCAATCAATGCGCATCCTGTTGAGGCCACTGGTACGGAATTTCCACAGCAGCAGCAGCATTACTATCTCACAAAGGCTGCAGCAGGCCCCCGTTGGCCTCCACACGCCGTGGAGCCCATCGAAGCGGGCAACAGCTCCCCACGCCCACCCGCAGCTCCTTACTGCCCAGTATGACCACGACAACCGGGACGTTCCAGCAGGGCCGCTGAGTCTCACGCCACATTCAGCGCGCCGTCCGCACCAGGCCCAGCGTCGACACACTCCCGCCATTGCCAGTCGCTGTGCGGGAGTCGCGCCGCGCACGCGCCACGCGCCGTGACATCACGGCGTCCGGGACGGGACGACACACGTCACCGCTTCGGCTCACATCTCCCCGAAGAGATAAGGTTTTCGGCACATCCGCGGTCACCGCTCACGTGACCACCACGTTCCGGATGTGGCCGAACACCTTAGAAGGCGGGCTCCCTGCAACACAGAGAGCAATGTCAGCGCTGGTAATACCCATGAAAAGCTGCGCGCGGAACACAAGCCAGCCGGCAATACACGGCGCACAGAAAAATAGATATAACTGGAGGGTTGTACCAAGCGTGCATCAACGGCCTCATGATTTGCATCAGGCTCTGCTAAAGTATACATATTACCCTTCAGCAAAATCTGGCAACCACATCACTCTGACAAACCCTGGAAAGTGGCAACTCTTTAGCCCTGACAAATTCTGGCAACTAACTTTATCATATTGTGCGCAATGGAGCGCCAATGTATAAAGCGTGAAAAATGCTGGGTAGGAAGTAGACAAAAGTTGCAAACGTAAGAACTTGTACATCACGCGGAACGCATCCCACAGCTTGTAGTGCCCAATGCATTCCATCTTAACCTGGCGGGGCGAAATTACGTGAGCTGTTCAGCGCATTAGCGAGGAACATTATTCACATAGATAGGACAGTAGTAACTTTTAATCTTGTTCTCCGGAGAAAACCAGGAGAGTGGAGATATAGTTGGTTTGATATTTCGGCAACATGCTTTCATCGAAACAATAACTATTGCTTCAATACCATGCTATATAGCATCCAATAATGAATATAAAAATATAGCAGCTATTGTTTCGATACTATGTAAATTCTTCCACTATTGTTTTGATCAAGGCATGTTGCCAAAATACCAACCCGACTATATCTCCATTCTCCTGGTTTTCTCCGAGGAATAAGGCTAACACTACTGTCTTGTCTATGGCTGGGCGGAATGTTACAGCAAAACACCAGCTCCACACGCGGCGCCCACCGACACGCCGTTGGGTGTCGTCATCCCCCCCCCCCCTCCCTGCTCCCGCCCACTCCCGTTCTCGCCCCCACCCCGCCCCACCCCCACTCACCCAGAATCAGCTCACACAGCGCGCGCCGCGCGGCAGCCGTGTTGGCGAAGGCGCCCAGGATGTGCACGCGGTGGTCGGCCACGACGATGCGCGTGCGCGTCTGGTTCTCGATGGTGAACTTGGTCTTGCCGTTCTTGCCGGCCAGGCGGCCGATGGCGCGTGACAGGTGGTCCCCCTTGAGGTGCTTCACTGCGGGCACACGGCGGACAGGCCGTTACACGCTGGCCTCTAACAGGCACGGGCTAGGAACTAACGCGAACGGGCCGTGCACACATCATGGAAAACGCACAAGACGGACGGCTCTGAAGAGCATAAGTGGCGTGATTTAATGCCGCAATAGTTTGGGGGAAAACATAGAAATTGACAAACCTCTTAATGACAACGAAGTTCTCACGTAGCAAGCACAAAGCATGATCCTTGCCTTGCCAATCACATAGCACGCAACTCTTAAGTAATTCTGGCCAGTTTAATCACCCACTACATCCTGCACTGCTGAGCCCAACCCGATCAGCCCATCGCAGCCTAGCGCGCTCTGGCTGACGAGCTCCAGAACTCGCCTCCGTCACACTATCCACTTCCGTTACTTTCATACCATCTATCCCACTCCTATTACTTGCAAACACATCCCCTCGCTGTTTGATGTCACCCCAACTCCCTTTGATGAATGCCTCACGTGTCGTATTAAGTTCGCGGCACACCGCACAGTTCGTGTCACATGAAGCTCAAGGCATAATTACGCTCAAATAGCGCCAGGCATCCGCGTCACATGCGGGCAGAAAACATACCCTGATCACTGCAGGGAATTTTTTGCAAATAGGCAAGCGTCCAATGTCGCAGCAGGATTGCCGGTAACTTGGTTTTGGGAAGCTGTGTGGAACGAGTGCGGGAGCCGGGACGGCAACAGAACCATTGGCCAGATCAATGACCATATAAAAAGATCGTTACTCAGCAAGGACTTTGAACTCCACGAAAAAAAAACAGGAGCTAAAGGCCTGTCTTTCTCATATCAGGTACACCACGTGGGCAACGAGCTTGCACATGACTGAAGCACCAATTCTATACCCTTCGGCATTACACCCCACTGGCATGCAAGCCTGTAGGTCTCCATTAACTCGTTCTCTAAACCATGTAAAACACAGCTGGGCGAACCCGGCTATAGAAGCCGCGCACGCAGGCGCCCCAAAGCAGTCACCCGGCCCGAGGATGCCAACGGCGCCTGGCCGGGACGCGGGCGGCGCGCTCGCGAGTCCCCGTACCATCCTGGACGTCGAACGAGTCGATGAAGATGTCGTCGAGCCGCAGCAGTGCTAGCGCGTCGTCCACCTCGAAGCCCAGGATGAAGGCGCGCACGAAGTCGGCCGCCTTCTGCAGGTGGCTCACGTCTGTAGTCTCCTTGCAAGTCTGCAACAGCCGGGCGGGGCTAGAGAGCGGGAGGGGGGGGGGGGGGGGCAGGCAGCGGCCGCGCGGGGCTCGACAGCGGCCGGGCGGGGCTCGACCGCGGCCGGGCGGGGCTCGACAGCGGCCGGGCGGGGCTCGAGAGCGGCCCGGCGGGGCTCAAGAGCAGCCGGATGGGGCTCGGGAGCGGCCGGGCGGGGCTCGACAGCGGCCGGGCGGGGCTCGAGAGCAGCCGGACGGGGCTCAAGAGCGGCCGGGCGGCGCCCCATGTAAGTTGCAAATGTACATGATCAATGCCGTAAAAAGATTCAGATCGTGCGCATCGGTTGCAGAGCTTCAGCACAGACTGTGGCGTCTGTCATTAGTCTTGCGTCACCGTCCCGGTGCCAATCACAAACAACGCCTGACTCCGGCGGCCGGCAGATACACGGGAGTGACTCACATCACAGACAAAAAAAACTACCTGGCTTCGGGGTGGGGCCGATGGAGTCGCGCAAAGCTCGGCACCACGGGGTGCTGCTGACGCCACAAGAACGCGTTTGGAGAGGGAACCGCCGTCGATGAGCCATGACGCAGACATGTGCCTGGATCCCAAGTGTGGATCCAGGATCCCGAAGGGTTCCGTGTTAATAACGCGTTATGAGCACTAGAAGACCCATAACCAGACTGACGTGCTCACAAACTGCGCCATTACTGGTCATACTATCCAAAATTGCGCTATATTCATTCACTGCAATTCTTCCCTAAGCTTGGGCACTTGCACATGGCCGATGGCTAGCTGTAGAAGCGATTGCTAATATTCAGCTGCCTGCGGAAAAACAGGTAAAAACGTGGTGATACCGCACATAACTTACAAGGCGTGACCGACCCAGGCCAACTACACCCACAGGATGGACATTGCATCCTTTTAGTCTACGAGAATGAAGCTAGGTCGTTTTCGTGCGTAGCCTGCACTCGTGGCAGTTCATCGCCCGCGGGCTGCAGGGTGGAGAGACTCTCCACGGGCAGGCTGCAGGGGGAGGGGAGGCTGACCACGCGCAGATGCACGCGCTAAAAACACTGATCAAGCCCAGCTCTCAGTTAGCCGATACTCTGTCTCAAGTTACCAGTCCAATGATGAGGTGCAACTACGGGCGACATCCAAGTGGCAGGTTTCCGGTCGGGCGGTGCCCTAGTGACAGGCCTCCGGCCGGGCGGTGCCCTAGCGACAGGCCTCCGGCCGGGCTGTACCGTAGTGATAGGCCTCCCACCGGGCGGTACCCTAGTGACAGGCCTCCGGCTGGGCGGTACCCTAATGACAGGCCTCCGGCCGGGCGGTGCCCTAGTGACAGGCCTCCGGCCGGGCAGTACCCTAGTGATAGGCCTCCCACCGGGTGGGGGCGGTACCCTAGTGACAGGCTTCCGGCCGGGCAGTGCCCTAGTGACAGGCCTCCGGCCGGGCGGTACCCTAGTGACAGGCCTCCAACCGGGCGGTACACTAGTGACAAGTGCTGTGCCCTGTCGTCCGCAAGGCATAATTGTACGCTATGTCCGTAAGTACACATACGAACCCGTATTTCGACGTTTCTGATCTTCAGGTTAAACCTGATTTGCAGGTTCAGCTGCTCCACAACAGGCGTGAAAATTTTCATCCAGTTTTCCTTCAGAGGCGTGTACCTGAATAAAAAAAAACAGCACAGAGTTAAACACTAGCTAGCGGGTGACACAGTACCAAGGGATGTATGGATAACTCCTATGGACTGAACAATAAATAGGTTTGTAAGGCCTACTGAAATATAACTTCGCCCCACCCCGTAGTTTAACCAGTCAAAGCGCCTGACCCCCAGCCCGACTGTGGCGGGGCGAGGGCTCGAGTCACGGCGCACGCTCGCCCCTTACCACCGACTGGGATGGCTTGCATCAGGTGGAAGCCACTGCTGTTAGCCATCTACAGCTGGTCGGATGACGTAAGATGGTGCGGCGGGGCGAGTTGTGCCATGCACAGTGGCATGTTTAGCTCTCTCCATAAAATTATGTTGAACTGGAGTTTCAAGATCCAATTATGGGGTCATGGTTCACACAAGCACTGCTTGGGAGAGTTCTGGTTTATGAATGGATCCCATTTAAGTGGTCTGGACTAAGTTCATAAAACCTGTGGCATGTTGGCATTCAGTTATCTTGAACAACAAGCATATCCAATAAAGAAATATTAATGGCAATCACTGAAGTTAACACCACAAGACCAACCTATGGGCAGGTACTGGTATTTTGCGCACTTCCACTCCATTTTGCAACTTTTCCCTCTTCACAGGTGGGAAATATGGCCGTCCCGCTGTGGCTGAAGCTGCTTCTCCAGCCTGTTCATCATCCATCTTCTCAGTATTATTTCTCTTCCTTTTCTTTCCTTTCCCTGCTTTCTTCCATTCTTCATCCTGGTCCATGGTGGCATCCTGAGCACTCAGAGTATCCTCTGAGACAGCAGCCATTCTGCAATGAAAATGCTACATTGATGCTTTTAAACTGAAACTGTTGAGTGTCTCATATTGTTCACTAACCCAAAAGATCTCCAATGTGTATGTCTGTACAAACCTGAACAAGTTTCATGAGAATGGACATTCCAGGCATGCGTGTGAAGTGTGGACACTCATTGCTTTTAGACAGACCTGAGATCTGAGTCATATCATTGCTTGAGTGTACACTGAGACCCCTAGCAGTAAAATGGCAATGTTGACATCTATGGGCTTGTGTAATTTTCATACTTCTAACACAGCTTTGAGATTCCTTGGCATTCTCAATCAGGGTCAAATTTGATGTTAACTGATACAATTAAGTGTGGAAAAAAAGGCACAAGGTAACTTACTTGTATGTCACCTGCTCCATAGGTATTCCATCCTGTACCTCAAGCTTTTCAATGACTTGATATGATACTTCCCTCCCCCCACCCCACCCTCACTACTAACAAAATCCTGCAGATGTTCAAGATGTGTGGAGACTATCCAATGTCTGGTAGCAGTAAGCATGCAATGCATGCTGAGCTAAGGAAATTAAAAAAGAGTAATGGATTCCTTTTGTGCATACTCTATTACAAAATAACACATCCTTTGAGGAAATCAAAGAAAATTATCCTTTTGGTGGGAATACAGAGCAACTAGTGCAGTGGCAATCAAACTAACTGCACTGGTCAATTATATGTCACCAGCAGGTCCATGTGCTATAAGCTCCTCCAAAATAAATCATCTCAGCATTAACCTATCTCCTGTCATCAGCATATTAAAGTCGCATATCCTTTTGCAACAGAGTTTAGCCTACAAGGAATTGATGCTGTGAAGCAAGAAGTATGGTACCTATTCATGGTCTGCACCCCTGCAAATCCGAGTGCACTAGTGACTACAATGCTGCGGTTTTCCTTGTGATTTAAAGCATCCCCAATCTTATCAATACTGACTTGAATCAAGGAACAAGAGGTAGATATCTAGCTGCACGCTAGGTACCCACCTGCCCAACCTACAGCTGTCTGTAAATTCGCACGTGCTAAGGAAGCGAGACCGCGAAATCCTCTGATGACCATAACCCACACATGGCCAGGGTAGCGCTCCCTCTAAACCACCAGTGCATCAGAGTTTGAGACTTACATTGAGCCCGCTCGATGTCCAGGAAATGTAAACGACCAATTCCAGAAGCAGATTGGCAGGTATCTGGGCACTCCGGCTACATAACACGTATGACCCAAGTGTCTCACGCCCGCACGTGCTGATTTATTGTCCCATGTAGTTCGAAAACGTCTCAAATCTGCATGCATGTTCCATGTGCTCAATACATTCTAGTAAGGTCACATCAACCGCTTTTCCGTGTTTTCATTAGCTAATGGCTTTAAGCTGGGGATTTTATTAGCTGAAAATAACGACAATTCGAATTGTTCAAAGTGTCTAAACAGGCGTAACACCAAACAGCGGTGGTTGTTCCTGCGTACAATTTTGCGATTTGGGTGGTCGTTTGGGTTGTAAGTGAATTTGTCCTTTTGGAGGTAAGTGCAACAGTGCGTGTGGATTGTCTTTGTACTCATTTTGGCTCGACATGCATCCAATTTAATTAGATTCTCTATGTGTTGTACATATCAACAACGTTGGCGTGCATTGCGTCTGCAAAATTCGTCTGCGTTTAATGCGACATAGTAAATCCCCTGATACAGGCATTTGTTGATGTGGTGTCCAGGGAATATTCAGCATTTTGACATGGATGGCATCATTATTTTTGCTCTCAAGTAGTCTTAAGTACAATACACCATTAGTGAATGTGATGCACATATGTAAAACATAAAAGGCCTACATCATCAGCTACATTGCACCGCCCACTTCAGTGCATGCCTGATGCTGACAGGCTGCAAAAATCCATGCAGTTATGACAAGCTTTTTATCATTGAGGTTGTAGCAAGTTTAATCGTTAATGTTTTTGACAGAATGAGTAGTGATGAAAGCATGTGATGATAAATCATTCTGAAGCAACTTATTCAGTGTTCAGAAATGGGGTATGGATGTCATCATGTTCTCACAGGGGAGATGGGCCTTAGAGATTAGACTTATGATCAAGCTTCTGTTTTTGTAATATTACAGCTTAGGCATTGGGTTTCAGGCTAGCAGTGCTGTGTTAGTTGCAAGTCCTGCATCTGTCTTTGAGTTTGCTAATGAGCAGCCTGGCTTTGGAATGAACATCAAGGCAAAGGCCAAGAAAACACAATTGAAGGGCAAGGGAGTTACTGCCAAGATAATGCCTTCAACCAAGAAGGAAATGAAGAGAAAGAGCAAGTTCAATGAAACACTGCCTGCCAAGGAGGAAAAGGAAAAACAGACAAATGGTGATGAAATGTGTCATACCAGAAAGAGAAAAAAGTTGAAAACTAGCCACAAACTTGATAATGATGGTGAAATGACTCCAACCAAAATGGCAAAGAAGATAAAAACTAAGAGCGAAGGCAGTGATGCCAGTGAGATGTCTCCACCCAAGACAAAAAAGATCATGAAAGGAACATCTGACATCCCAGATAACCCAGCCAGTCCAGAGCACTCTCTTACAAGTGTTTTGGCCGATGGTAAGAAGAGAAAACCAATGCGCAAGAAAAAGCAGTACAACAAGGAAGCTATTGAGAAAATGAAGGCCCGCCAGGTGGCCAGGCGGGAGAAGGCACAGAAACAGACGCCGGCAGCGAAGCCCGATGCCAAGCGACGGCGGGCCAAGCTGCCTGTTCGTCTGGAGGCAGTTAACTTGACGTTCGCCGAGGACGACACCATGACCGAGTTCGACGGCGTGTGGGTGCCACGCGAGGAGACGGGCCGGCTCCAGTCGGCGCGCGAGGACCTGGAGAAGCGTGGCCTGGCGCCGGAGAAGGTGCACCGGCGCATGAAGCAGCTGGTGCGCCGCGAGCACCGGCGCCTCAAACTGCGCCTCATCGGTGCGCTGGCCAAGACGGAGCGAGCGGCGCGCGAGCGGGCGCAGTTCCTGGCGGCGCGCAACACGCCGCGCGCGCGCCGCCGTCTGCCCGGCCGCGCCTGCGGCCTCCGGCTGCAGGAGGGAGACCGGCTGGCGCGTTTCGACGGCTTCTGGGTGGGCGCTGAGGCGGTGGCTAAGCTGGAGCAGCTGCGGGAGCGGCTGGCGGCCGAGGGCCGGCCCGAGGCCGAGGCGCGCCGCCTGCTGCGCCACGCTCGCCGCGCCGAGGAGCGCCGCGTCAAGAGTGCTGGCCGGCTGCTGTGCGCGCGCTGCGGCGGCCGCGGCCACCTGGGCTCCGACTGTACGGCGCCGGCCGTCCAGGCCGCCGCCGGCACCGTCTGCTTCCGCTGCGGCGCCGCCGGCCACCGGCTCTCCGACTGTCCGAGGAAAGGGGACGTGGCCGGCCTGCCGTTCGCCACGTGCTTCCTGTGCCAGCAGAAGGGCCACATGTCCCGCGACTGTCCGCAGGGCGCCGCCGACGCCGGCCGGCGGCCCGGCCGCACGTCGCCGGTCGGCGGTGGAGCCGGAGCAAAGGCGTGCTCGTGGCGCGGGCTGACCCATGACGCGGAGGAGGCGGACGAGGCCGCCCCCGCCAAGGTCGCCTCTGTGAAGAAGGCCGCCCCCGTGAAAGCGAAAACACCGGCGAAAAAGAAAGAGAGCAGTGGCGGGCATGTCCGCTTTGATTTCGACTGATGTCCTATTTAAGTGAAGATGTTCGCTGTCGTTGGGATGGAGTGTGGCGGAATTGCGGGCCATGGTATGCTTTAGTGCTGTTTAAAGCGATACGCTCGAAGAGATCTTGTGATGCGTTGGGTATCCTGATGTGGCTGCGGAAGACGGCTAGAAATATAAGTTCGCTGTCGAGTTTCAGGGGTGAGTTGCATGGCGCGACGGTTCTTAGTGTTACAAAACACCGCTCATAGTGTACTGGACACCAAAACAGGATAAAGGACGTGCTGTAGATATTTTCACTTGTATTCGTTACAAATGACCACAACGCGATGACAATATTTTTATAGTGGCTCCGGACCAAAAATGCGTCCGGCCGCATGAGCAGCATCACGCCGCCGTGTCCTGCCGCGGCGAGCCGACAGCGCCGTCCGCGGATCCTCAACGGCGTCGGCGCGGCGGGCGACACTAGCTCCCCTGGCGGCTCTGGATGGCGTCCAGCACGCGCTGCAGGGCAGCCTCTGCCTCGCCGTGCAGCGGCCGCAGCTGCTCGGTCACCTGGCCGGTCAGGTCACTCTGGGCCGCCTGCGGAGGCGGGACCGCTGGTGACCGAGGCGGGGGGACACGGGCCGCCATGTCGGCCGGTCGGTCAGGCCGGCACGGTGTGCCGTCCGCCACGCTCCCAGCACAGCCGCCTCTTGTTTACCTGCGAGGGTGCCTCACATGCGTTGAAAAGGCACGACAGACCTGCTCAGAATGACTGACTATGACTGAACTGATGATTATGACTGAATGACTCAACGTTAGCAACGGAACCTTTACCGAAATGCGTCATCCTGATGGAAAGCTTTCGGCTTGCTTCACGGGAAATGCCTATTAATTAATCAAAACAAATGGCGCACCTTAAACGTCAGGTTAAAACAGCTGTAAAAAGCAATAAAGCTACGTGGCGCTACGTGCTCCTTTGCGCACAGCGGGCTATGACTCACGGCAACTGTCAACAGCTCATGACCAGAAGCCTGAGTCAGAAGTAACCAGGTGACCGACCTTGACTTTCGTCAGCGTGCCGCGCGCTGCCAGCTTCACCGAGGACAGGGTCTGGAGCACGTGACCGCCGGGCTGGGTCACTTCGGCCCAGTCTAGCGCCGCATCAGCCAGCTGCGGATGGCGGGCAGTGTCAAACTGCGGCGGGTACGGCGTCATCCCTTCATTGGCTCTCTGATCCGATGCGATAGTGTCATGCGCTTGCCTCATATCACGTTATAAGGACGTGACCTCACATGAAGCCTTGCCCAGCTCAGCGTGGACAAAATCGGCCAACATGGGACATCGCACTGCCATGACGATCACGCCGACCAACACCTAGCGGGCCTTCCTACTTCGGGAATTAAAATCGCGCGCACCGTGACTTGGCCAAATCCCGCAAGACACGTCTTAAGGCACCCGCTCCGATACCAGTCATTTCAACCTGATGTCTCCAGGGCACGAGGCTTCCCGTGCAGACAACCAGGAGGCGCCACAGCCAGTCATCTCACCTTGACGACGATCTGCAGCATCTGCCTGGCCAGCTCTGGCTGTTTCTCGGCGGCCGGCCGCTGCGCCAGGCAGCGGTGAGCCTTCTGGTAGTACTGCATCGTGCGGTGGCGCGCCTCGTCAGAGCGCTCGCCGGCCGACAGGTCGCCGTATAGACTCCAGAGGTCGGCATCGGTCGTGATCTGCAGAAAGAGGAAGAGACAGCGTCAGCGGCGCGGCGGGGTGAAGAGACAGCGTCAGCGGCGCGGCGGGGCGATGAGACAGCGTCAGCGGCGCGGCGGGGTGATGAGACAGCGTCAGCGGCGCGGCGGGGTGACCAGACAGCATCAGGGGCGCGACGGCGCGACGCGGCCGACATTCGCAACCACGGCACAGCTCAGAAGGCAGCACCGTCACAGGCTGCCGCCCGAGCCGGGCGGACCCACGTGAGGTCGCGCCGGTCCCAGCCCTCCTTCGCCGCGCGTGGGCAGCGACCGCGACCGACTCACCGCTGCCGTGAGGCGGCCGAAGAGCGCGGCCACGCGGCGGCGCAGGCGGCCAGCGCCCAAGCCGTGCCGGTCGACCGTGTCCCCAATAACGGCCCCCACCAGCAGACGCAGCACCTCGGCGTCCACGTGACGCTCCCGTACGTCCGCCAGCCGGCCGTAGGCGTTCACCGCCTGCCGGGGTGTCCGAGACGGCCGTTATGGTGCGGAGTCAGGGACAGGTCAAACTCACGGTGACCAGCTGTCAATAGGACACGATTTGAACGCGACAGAAACACCGGCCGAACTGCCCAATTTGCACTATTTGAGCACACTAATGAAAACAAAGCCAGAAGGCAATCCCAACATTTCAAACATATTGCATCACAACTACAGCAATGGGAGTCGCACAATGTCTGAACAGAAAGGGAAAACGTACCTCCTCAAACTCGCCTATATCAACACTGACGACCAGAAAGTTCTCCCAGATTTTCCAGTTGTCGAAGCTGAACTTGAGCGCCTCCTGCAGTGTTTTCCAAGCGCGGTCCTTTTGGCCTAGTTTGATGTACGCGTGTGCGATGTTGTTCCACGCCTCAAAGTTCTGGAATAGTCGAGATGGGAACACATTAAACCGACGTAGCAGTGGCGACCAATGCACTCAATTACTGCTTTAGCAGAAACATGTTATCTGTTCCATAAAACTAATAATGCTACAGTTGAACTGAGCGTGCCCTAAGTGTGCTGGAAATAACAGCTCAACAAACCGCCCACGGTATACTGGAACAACAGCAAGAAGGAGTTCTTCCTGACGGCGGTAGAAACGCATCAATAGCTCGAGCTTCTCACGTCTGGCTCCAGGTAGCAGCACTGTCGGTAGGCCCGCGCACACGTCTTCCAATCTTCGGTCTCGAGCGCAGCATACGCCAGGCGAGACCAGACGTCAAACTGGAGGCTGTTCATCTCCACGGCTCTCAGCAGAAACGGTATGCAGCGCGAGTACTGGAAGAAAACAACGTACATTAAGAAGATGGCACACAATGTGTCCCATTAATGTGCGTTCTGATGTGAGGTCGGCATATTCGAGTGTTTAGTCAGCCAGTAAGTGCGTGGGTTTTAACAGCGCGTCAACTGCAATGCTTATTTGCGCCATACTCGAGTATGCTACCCAAAGTAAGTGCGTCAGTCGGATAAGCAGTGCATTCATGTTATCAACAAGAATGGAGGAGTAGATCAGTTTATAACCGACTGACTTACATGCTCCATACCCATCCACTGCAGTTACCAGCCCACAGATCATCACTGCATAATTACAATGAGCGGAGACTGGAAATGAAACATAACAGCACACCTGCTTCATTGCAATGTCGTGTACCTGTCCCTGCTCCTCTTTAACTTTAACTTTAGCATCACATCCCCAGCAACACAAGAGAGGGGCTCGCAGCGCACCTGTTTGCGGTGGTAGTAGTGCAAGCCCTCGGAGCGGAGCGCGCGCACCGACTGATGGCCAGACATCTCCCAGGCGCGCTGGTAGCATGTGACGTCATCAGTAGCGTCACCCAGCAGGCAGAGCAGCTTGGGCGTCTCTCCGCTCAGCTCGATACGCTGGCGGATCACCTCCTCCGCCTGGCGGTGCAGACAGCCACGACTTCACGCGGATGGGCATGACGTCATGTGAAGGGGGACGACGTCATATGAAGGGGCATAACGTTACATGATGGAGCATGGCGTCACGTGAAGGGGGACGACGTCATATGAAGGGGCATAACGTTACATGATGGAGCATGGCGTTACGTGAAGGGGAGAAGGGCACTGATTGGTCTACTCTTTTTCCAAAATATTCTGCTGCCTCAAATTCAATGTGGCTGTTTTAGAGCTTACCAACTTTTATGATAGCAAAAATAATCACTCCTACAGATTCTAGCTTTTCTGTTCGAAACTATCTTCTACGCATAGCCTATGCATATCATGACGTGTACACACGACCTTAAGACTAGCACGTAATCTAGATTCTGATCCAGCGTGAACACAGCAGGCTGGACAAAAGCACACAAGTTAACGCTATACTTACACCGACAGCAAAACGGATTAACTACGGTTCGAAAAATTATCGATAAAATTCAAGATACGTGAATTGCGCGGATTGCTCAGCAACGCACATCAACCCTGATTTTGTTACGTAAGACGCAGCTTTCAGCGCTCGAGACGTCTCTTTCCGGGAGCACGCACCCTCTGGCGCTGCTGCAGCAAGTGGTAGCACTTGATGGCCTCCTCCCAGAGCTGGAGCCGCTCGTACACCTCCAGCGCCGCTTTGGTCACGCCCAAGGCCAGGTAGCGGGCGGCCAGCTCGCCCTGTCGAAGTCAGTCACTGTCAGAGGTCGCCCCCACGGCAGCTGGGGTCAGCGGTCACACCACGGGAGCCGGGATCAGAGCTCACGCCACGGGAGCCAGGTCAGAGGTCACATTGCGAGAGCCAGGATCAGATGTCACACCACGGGCTCAGGGCGACAGAAATCCTAGAAACCTATCTGGCGTTGGAACCAGTCAGCGCTTTCCACGGGCGTAATGGACCATTACTCTACATCAACGAAAGGTTCACAAAATAAGGATGCACCACCTTAAGACGGTACAGTATGTTTACTATATCACACTCTTCAAAACATCGGCTGCGTTATTTTCAAGAACGAGCGCCGCTGCGAACGAACCAGTCGTCTCCCATGGAAGACGGCCGCACCGACCCACCTCCATCTCCCAGCGGGTAGGCACGAGACTGCAGAAGAACAGCTGCAGCCGGTGGACGGCCGACGGCGCCGCCTCCGTCACGGCGTCCACCAGCGTCTGCGTCTGTGTCATGGCCCGCTCCACGGTGCGCCGCTCGCCAGACTCAAGCCGACTGCGCTGCAGACGGCACCCGTCTGAACACGCTGGTCTGGACACACTCGTCTGAACATGCTCGTCTGGACACGCCCGTCCGAACACGCCCGTCCGAACACGCCCGTCTGAACACGCTCGTCTGGACACGCTCGTCTGGACACACTCGTCTGAACACGCTCGTCTGGACACGCTTGTCTGAACACGCTCGTCTGAACACGCCCACCTGGACACGCTCGTCTGAACACGCTCGTTTGAACACGTCCGTCTGGACACGCTCGTCTGAACACGCTCGTTTGAACACGTCCGTTTGGACACGCTCGTCCGAACACGCTCTTCTAAACACGGCGCCGGCAGTGATCCCACACGGCGGGCGCCAGGCACCTGACCTGGCGCCACCGTCCCCCAGCACGCGCACAACGCTCGTGCGCAGGCAGGTTGAAGGCCGTCCGAGCAGGTCGAGTGCCTTGGTGCGTAATGCTTAACGTAGACGACCACAGCAGGTCCGAAAATACGGCAAACGGTCACAGCAACAAGTGATGACACGTGAAAATGTTCCGTATTCATCCACCACCAACTGCTCGTCAGCTGCTGCTACTTGAGTGCGCACGCCCCGCAATTAACTTAAACCCGCACGCCGTCGGCGGCGTTAAACGGCGGCGTTACCTGCAGCAGGGCCGACAGCTGGACGGCCCAGAGGTGCGGCTGCCGCGTCACCGCCGCCAGCAGCACCAGCAGCTGCTCGTCCCGGATCGCGTCTCGGCCCTGCGCCCGCTGCTCCTGGAAACTGCGCGGCGAGCGACGGCCGTCAGGCTGAGGGGCGGTGTCGCGCGCGCAGCACAGACAGGCTGAACCCCGCCCGGTGACGCGGCGGGAGCGACGGCCGTCAGGCTGAGGCGCGGTGTCGCGCGCGCAGCACAGACAGGCTGAACCCCGCCCAGCGACGACGACCGTCAGGCTGAGGTGCGGCGTCATGTGCGCAGCACAGACAGGCTGAACCCCACCAAGTGAGCAGGTGGTGAACCACGCCCAGTTATCAGGATGAATCACGCCCAGTGAGCAGGCTGAAAAACGCCCAGTGAGCAGGCTGAACCACATCCAGTGATTAGGCTGAATCCCGCCCTGTGATCAGGCTGAACCCGCTCAGTGACCAGGCTGAATCCCGCCCAGAGACCAGGCTGAACCCCGTCAAGTGAGCAGGCGGACGACATGTGTTGGGCTCCAGCTCTTGAAAAGCGCGAAACAGATACGAAACGAAACAGTTCTGAACATAGAAAGCGCGTTCTACCCGTGCTGTACTGATGTGATGGTGATGATGATTCGGGCTTTGGGGCGCGATTTGGGGCGTGCCGTATTTATGTGAGCAACACTTAACAGCCGACGGTCGCCGCATGTGATGAGCCAGCATTATCTGCGCCGAGCAGCGCTGTGTACCAACTGTTACCCCGGCACCTGTCTAGGCACGACTCCCGGTCGGTGGAAGCCCAGCCCTGCTCCCCATACTCCCACTCACAACTTGCTGAGAATGACTGCCTGTCGGAGCGGCGAGGCGGCCGCCTCCAGCGCCGCGTCCTCGTACTGCACACGCTCGCGACGCGTGTCGTCGCCGAGCCGCAGGTCACGAGGCAGCTCGGCGCAGCCCGGCGGCTCGGAGGCGTCCTCGGGCGGCCGCGGCGGTCCCGGCGCGTCCTCGGACGGCCGCGGCGGTCCCGGCGTGTCCTCCGGCGCCGGGAGCGGGCTGTCGCCGGCGGGCGACAGGCCGTCCTCGGCCACCCGCAGTGCCAGCTGCGGCCGCGCCTCCTGGAAGTACGTCCGCCGACCCAGCGCTCCTGGCCACGGGGAGGGTCGGGGTTAGACGCCCGAGAGCCAGACTCGCTCCGGGTCGCAGGCGCCACGTACGCACAGTGCGCTTCCAGTAGTCGAGACGCCATGCACGGGGCCACTCCACCTATGATGGCACCTCTGCGCGATGCACGCAGTTGGACCAGACCTCACTTGCATGTGAACCAAAGACGATCCTGTTCAAGTATCCAACACGCTTATCTAGCGTCCGATACTAGGACGTCAGCATAAGTCGGCACCTCCAACGAATCCGAGCATCTCCGGCGCGCTACCGGAGGAATGGGGGACAAGGCGCGCGCCGCCACCCATCAGCCGCATCATCACTCACCGACCAGCTCCAGACTGATGCCGAGTCGGCGCTGGGCGGTGGCCAGATGCTGCGCCGCCTCCGTCACGTGGTGGTGGTAGCTGTACACGCCGGCTACCGTCAGATGGTGCTCGACGGCCACCTGGGACGAAGCGGCGTCAGCGGAGTGAGGAGAGAACCCACTGGGGACGCGGCGGCGACCAGTGACCTGGGTCCGGTGCGGTCCGGTCCGGTCCGGTCCGGTCCGGTCCGGTCCGGTCCGGTCCGGTCCGGTCCGGTCCGGCCGGGTGGAGCAGACCACGAACGTGAGCAGCCGGGAGCAACAGCGCGTCTTTGGCCTTGAAACCAAATGTGTGGATGGGAGGACCACTTTTATCTCCAACGCCGATCACTTTGAAGAGCAGAGGTCGCCATCGAGAAATTATTACCCAGTTATCAGTCATCGCTGGTGCGTCGCTGGTGCCAGGAGGGTCCGCCAGCGGCCTGACCCAGAGCCAACAGACCGTGTAGCCAAGCGCCGGTGCGCCCCCTTCACCTGTGTCGAGCTCTCCAGCAGGCGGAGCGTGTTCTCAGACAGTCGGATGTCCTTGAGGAAGAGGTCGAAGAGGTGGGGCGACGCCTCGTCTAGTACCTGCTGGTGCAGGAATCCGTAGCGGATCCTCCACAGCGGGAAAGACTGAAACACGCCACGGACACTCAACACGACGTGACAGCAAACGGCCTCAACATAGGCCGGCTATAACAGACATATACCCAGTGTAATGCATATGTGTCGGCATGGTCTAGCATTGCTCCGGGGGTACAGGAACATATATCCGGCTGGAAAAGACGGTTGCTGTCCTAAAGCATGAAACCATATGAACCACAATCGCAGCCGCCTTACGCGCCCGGTAAACACGGATCAGTGAGGAACACCATGGTGGAGAGACTGCATTGGAGTTCGGGAACTGGGACGATTGCGGCAATAAAAGGGTCCGACGATACTCAGCGCACGACGTCGGTACGTACCGGGAATGAGCTGAGATGATTCTGACAGCCCTCGAAGACGACCCGCGCGATACCGAGCGCCTCCGGGCACCGCATCAGCTGGTAACACTCGCTCCCGTCCACAGCAAGACAAGCCAGACACCTGCAATACAACCGCAGCAGCTGCACATAACTTATTGAGCTGAGATGATCCTGATACCGCGCGCCTCCGGGTACCGCGTCAGCCGGTAGCATTCGCTCCCGTCCACAGCAAGACAAACCAGACACCTGCAACACAGCTACAGTAGCTGCACATAACCTATTTTGGGCAGGGAACGCCTGAAATGTGCGCTTGGGCGTGGACCAGCCTTAATGGACAGGGCAGTCTCAATGGACTATTATATGCGCTACTGTCTGCTCTGTTTGGCTGCGGTACCTCAGAGCCAAAACATAGCTAGTGCGACCATAAGGACACACTGGCCCTAAGCAGTCAGGCCAGTAACACCGAGCGCAGCCCGTGCACATGTCCCTCCGCTGGCGGTCCACGAGCGCCCGCGGCCGGCGCCGGCCTCCTCAGCGGGGTGCACTGACCTGGCCCGCTCCTGCTCCGAGCCCGTGACGGGCAGCACGTCCGCCCAGTCCAGCTCCGGGCCTGTCCAGTTGGCCTGGGCGAACAGGCACAGCGCCGCCACGGCCCCCAGCAGCAGCAGCTCCCTGACGACGTACGACCGTCAGGCGAACGGACGGCCAGCGACAGGCTGTTGTTGGCATTGTCATTGGGGCTTTGTGGCGTGCTCTGCTGCTCAGGCTACATGGCGTTGCCTGTCTCTCACCATGGCAGGAAGGGTGGGCACCATGGGGAATCAAACCCTGCACCCTTGGTTTCCCAGAGCAGCCAACAGGCGACAACTGATCATGTGTGTATGAGTGTGTGCAGGTGTGGGTGTGTGTGAATGTTGTACATTGTATAGATGTCATGGAAAATGGCTGCATTTGCCAATCTTCCACAGCATAAAGGCACAATTGAAAATTTGATGTGTGTAGTGTAGACAAGCTTTCAAAGCATGCCTCACTTTATTTGCTCTTACCCTGAATCACTGCTGGCACTATTCAGTGAGGCAGATACATGGGCTGCAATGGCCTCCAGGTCCCACGACTTCCACAACTCTGTTGCATCTAGGCTGAGCACCCTTCTGATGTCTTCTAAATTCAAGACATCTTTGAAATGTCCTTGGAGAATGTGATGCAGAGGTGTGTCATCCAGTTCTGTGGCATTGAAGGATATGGTTATTGCTTTCCTGTTTTCAAGTATGCAGAGGGTGGCAGAACATAGTGAGTGGTATAAATGACATGAGACAAAGAGCTTACTTTCAAGCATTATGACTAAGCTTTTGCAGAAAACATGTTTTGAGATGTTCTGATTGATCATGGATTCTAATGCAAGGCTCTTTTGTATTATGGCATGAGGCAGTTGTACTTGGCTAGTGCACATCTCAACAAAAAGCAACAGGTCCACAGCAGGCCCTTCATCCAAAAAGGTATTGACCATGTGAGACTTTGCCATATGACACAAGAACATGACAGCATGGACTGAGAAGATTCATGTACTGCAGCAAGGCTACATGAATTAGTATATCAGCCTGATAGCTAGCCTCAGGGGTGATAACAAAAACCTTTAAAATGGTCAGGCAAAAGACCTTCCATTCAAAAACTGCAACTGCTTTTGGCAGGAACTGATGTCACCCTTGCCTTCTCAGGTAGCACAAGTAAATACATTTCACAAATTAGGCAAGAAAACTACCCATTTTGACCAGTTTGATTCTACACCTTCCCACTCACAAGACATGCATGATTAAGAATGATTTATCACAATATGCCAGGACAATAATACATACCCAGTCTGTTATCAGACTGCTTGCAGTGCCTCAGGGACACAAGTTCTTTTTCTTTCTCCAAATGCATTACTGCCATCAACCAAGGCTTTGTACTCAAATGTATACAGGCATCTAAAGTATCTCTTCAGTTGCGCCAGATGCCTGACAAATAAACATCACATTTGAAACATGCATGTTATATACAAGTATGTGCACGGTCGTATCAAACACTATAGGCACTCCACAAACCACCCAATATGTTAATCAGATTCTTGGCATTTATTGCTATGGGTCTATGTATTGGCCAAGTTTCACGTGTAAAATGGAAACAAGTACATTGAATCAGACACAGACAGACATCTTTATAACTATTTAATCATAATTTGTCATGATTCAAAAATCATGTTGACTGATTTATGCATGATCTCCAATTTTTTCCACTTCTATTTTAAACAATTACAGAAGCATCAGTCAATAAGCATTAAGACCCAAGTATTGTCATAGTCCTTGCAATGTAAATTACAAGTCAACTACATTAAGCTTCTGCAACAGCATGGGTACAATTTAAGTCCAGCGACACTTTGCCTAGCCTGAAAAACTTACAAATGAACAGCTAATGCCTGTATGCATAAATATGTACACAATAACTACAACTGGAGCTACAAAATCGGTAAAAACATCCGAGAGCCAGGAGTCCATGGTTTATAAAATTAAACCCTCGAATTACCCAACCGTGGCACAGACACAAGTTAAACACGACCACCACCACCAAGGACGTCAAAATTGCGCCGCTAATTGAACTAGAGGGAGAGCAACACCACGCCGACCCCCGGACCACGGGCACCGTGATTTGAGTCCAAGCTTGAGCTTCGTCTTGTCTTGGATTGGGGCGCATAGTAGCCGTCGTATTGATGCATGCTGTTGTTGTCACATCTGCGGTATTATACGAACACTATATAGCTTCCAAATCCCTAGTGATAAAGGTAAATAAGAGGAAGGGTAAGGGAAAATAATACCAAACATCGACAAATTTTAGAGTGCAGGCAGGTGGAAACGGGGCTCACGACTCCCTTAGGTTCTGAGGGGCCCGAAGGGTAACTCGGGACCTACGATTAAGGGTCCGGAGTGCCGACCGGGGGTCATATTCAGAGGCCCTGCTCGAAGGGGTGGGCACTTCAATGTCATTCAGAGCATAGGCGCAGGGGCGCTTCAAAAAGTGGGTGGGTGGGGGGGGGGGCAAGCTCAGAGCATACTTCGGGAACTTTTTCTGGAAAACAAGCTCGATGACTGGGGGGCGGGGGTAGAAATGGAGGTAACTGCTGTTTATTCAAATGTAATGACTGATATTCTAGACCTGCATCTAGAGTTGTTTCTCACTGGTGCACACTCTTGCCTATCCGACTCATCTATGTCATTCGGCGAATAACACTATCCAGCTTCCCAAGATTATTCGTCCCTTTCAATATTGTCTTTCCTGGGGACGCGAAATTCCACGAGGGGGTAGGTATTTTGGGTTATTGAGAAGGCATCTGTCTACGCAGGGCAGATACAAAAATATGGCCTAAGCAAAGGCTGGTGGGAATTTTGAAAGCGAGTCGATGGCTCACCGTACAACAGATTTGCATTCGCATTCATTTCGCTGGCTGCTTTTTAAGAAATAAGACTCGTCGCGGCATTTTAGGCGGCAACGAATTCGGAAGTTTGAAACTGCCAAAAACCATGTGACAAAAGCCATAAAACTGGAGATTCTCCTTTGAGAACCAAGCCACGGAATGAAGGTCCTTCTGTCATACATTCCTTGTCTGAGCCCTGCTCCCGTCCGCCTTCGGTGACCACTGTCCTGGCCCGGCTGTCTCTGAATGACTGACCGCGGAATAATGGTATGGCTGCTTTGTTTAGCATTTCTGGATCAGCATTGCCACCACTTGGGATGCAAAATATGCGTTGAACACCTGCAACAGTACCTTTTTACCGCATTATCTTCCCTTACACCACACCAAACCAGAAAAAATGGCTCCGGGAAGCTGCTTTCCTTATGTATGAATGGGCGCAACGGACATTTAATTGCCCGCCACTCAACGAAGACGACTGGATCTGCTTTTGCGTGTGGGCAGGGGGTAGCCAGAGTCTTGCTTAGAGGAACGAAGGGCTGACAAAAAACCCTCTTATGGTGATCGCCCCCCCTCCCCCTCCCAAAAATCCCCTGATATAGTTAACTTGTTACCAAAAGATGCGGTTTTCTTGGTTTCATTGCTATTTTTGCGTTGTAACCAGAACAGAAACCAGAAGCTACCGTGAGATCAATTATGTTTATATTTTTAAGGCCAATGTACCATAGAAATCAGGCGTTTAACGACCGCATGGAATAGATCACAGGCGTCTTTAATTTACAATGGTTTAGTGGACTCTTTCTAAACCGGCAGAATTTAGAAGCTTTTTCATAATGTTTTATCTGCGTTCTACAGACATTGAGGACATCGCAAAGGTAGGCTGTAGATCGATATGTTTGATCGAAATTTGAGGGTGAAAATTTTGATTGTAGATCGAGTGGTCAACAATGCATATTGACATCGCCAAGCCATGGTTGTCTGGAAATGTTAAACATTCAGTCAGAATCGATCAGTGATGCAAATTACATAGCGTGGTTTTCAATATGCGCGCTTGCAAATCTTATCAACAAAAACCTCGACGTCAGGCGTTGCAGTCTCCATAGTCCACGGAGCGAGGTTAGCACAGTGGTTAATTTTTCGCCGTGGCCCACCGGTGGACAAAAATGATAACGGTTCCGAAATAGTTACCTTCAAACACTTAAATATATTAGTAATAAAAGAAACGTGGCATAATTTTGAGCATGCGTGCTCGCAAAATTTGTTTTAAAAACCACGACGTCAGGCGTTGCAGTCTCCGTTGGCCGCGCATCGTCGGCTCAGTGGCTAATAGTGAGTCGTGGTCAGCGGGTGGATAAAAATTATGACGCTTCTGAAAGAAGAACATTTGAACGCTTCAGGACATCGAACTTACATCCACAAGGCAGTCCGGGTGCATATTTCACGTGTGTGATTTTTAGACTGATAAGAACGGATTGGTCTTTAAAGCACCGTGAAGTGGTGCTGGAACCTGGTGGTGGAACTGAGATTAGATTAGATAGATTAGAACTGAGATTAGTAAAGGTAGATTCTTTATTGTTCGTGTTTCTGTAGCTATAAGTCTGTCTAGAAGGCAGATTAACACGGCGCCCGCCGTTTGGTGACACTTGCAGTGGCCGACGCCGTTCGGTTTTACGGAAGCTGCAACACAGACCATCGCTGTTCTTGCTCTCGAGGCTGGCGAGGCTGCGGGCGGGCATGCTCAAGCCTTTCGATGCATTTTTTCACTAATCCATTTTTTAAAAATGAACTTTTTCAAGCAAACATGGGATGACCTTGTTCGTTTTTAAAAAATTCATGTTGACCCACACTTTTCAACAATAATGAGACCCCCACTCTACTCAACAATGATGAGACCCCTTAAATCCTTCCGGGTAAGGGGTCTCTTGAGTAGAACACCAGGGTCACATTACTGGTTCCGGTCAAGGGCTGATGGACCACTCCGTCCCATCGCGAAGTGTCTTCCGACTGCCATTTTAACGACCTGGTCGATCCGGAGGCCATTGCAAGGATACAACATATGACATTGTTCGCCTCCCTGACACGGGAGGCCCTCTGACACGCGCAGTTGGCCTTTGATCAGCAAGGGAACCCTCATTGACGCAGCAATATCACTGATCGCTGAAGGTGGTCCAATAATTATCATATAGACTGCAGTGCCGTGTTTTTCTGTGTTCCTCAGAGAGATTGAGCAATTCTGAACGTATATTTGAGATGAAATGAGTCCTAAGTTTGCCTTAACATGGCTAATTCATGTTCGTCTTAAGCGTTCAAGATTCAGTCAGAATTTATTACTGATAAAAAACTATGTAATATGGCTTTGAGCGTACTCGCCCGCAAGTCATAGCAACAACAGCCCGGACGCCTGGCGTTGCAGTCTCCATAGGCCGCGCGGCGTCGGCCTGTGGCTCTGACACTAAGCGATGGCCAATAAGCAAACGAAAAAGATGACGCATATTGAGGAAGATGGCCGGTGAGCTGGGTACATCGGCATGTGCATTTGAATGTGGCGGAAAAGTAAGCTAAACACAACCTTAATCTGAAAAGTGAGGGGGGACAGTTAACACTGCTGGCCCCCACGTTGAAAAGTGGGCGAGGGCATGGTCCCCTGGCCCCCCTGTTCCTACGCCCATGATTCAGAGGGCCCTGGGCGCTGACCAGTGGTCCCCAGAGTAGATAAGGGGCATGCATGTCGGTCAGACATCACCAGGGACGTAAAGTCGGCTCTGTGTCGGCATGGGCCTGAGGGTCCATTTCCCAAGCAGGGTCAAAGCAGGAGCTATATATTTTTATTGTTCACGGCCCCAGCGTCTGTCATGAGGGTTCTGTGTTGGCAAGGGCCCGAGTCGACCAGAGGCAGTGTTCGAGAAGGCCCGAAGAGCCTGGAGGGCTCACCGAGACCGACGATTAAGGGCCCGATTAGAGGGTTTCGGGGCACGAAGTGCTGGTCGGGTCTTATCCCGATGCTCCAGCTTGCAGCGATGGCCCCGCGAATGATACTCAGGCGGCCCTTTGTACCGAACGGAGACCCCCGAATTAGTATCGGCCTATATATCGGTCAGACGCCACCAGCACCGCGCAGTTATCCCCGTGTCCATATGGTCCTGAGGGCCGCACATCCCAATCAGCGATGCAATCGGGGCCAGCGGTTTACACTGGTCGGGGCCCCTGTATATGTCAGGGGCCTGCAGTGCCCAACAGACGTTCCTGCATTCGCAAGGGACCCTAAACCAACCAAGGGCATCGTTCGATGAGGCCGAAAGAGGGGCCCGGGCGGGTCAGCGGAACAGACGATCAAGGGCTCGGCTGGAAGGCGTAAATGGCCGAAGGGCTGTCTGTAGGTCACATCAAGAATCGCGGCCCGTAGGGTCATGATCTAAAATGCTAATTAGAAGTCCTCTTGCACCGTTTGAGTACCCCTGAGCCAAGGCGGGTGTCTCGGTCGGCCAGAGACCACGAGCACCGAACAGCTGGCTCCCTGTCAGTCCGAAGCCTGGGGCCCCACTTCCCAAGCAGGAGCAAGACCGGGGGCCACGACTTACATTGGTCTTGGTCCCTGAAACAATAGTTGGGCCCCCTTGTCGGTCAGGGGCCCACAGTGCTTAACTAGGGGTAAAGTGTTGGCTAGTGGCCCGGAGTCGGTCGCAGGCTTTGTTTGAGGAGGCCCGAAGGAGGACGAAGGGCCCCTCAGGACCAAATGTCAAGGACCCGATTGGCTGCCTGTAGGTCACATTTGGTACCGTGCCCGTAGGGCCGTGGCCTCAAATATCAGTTATAGGGTCTCTTTTACCGACTGGGGACCACTGAGACAGAGTGTTTAGTCTAAAACAAAACAAGGCCATCCCATGTTTGCCTGAGATTGTTCATTCATTTCCAGAATCGATCAGTGAAACAATTACATTGAAATGTTCAAGCTCTCTGGGTAGCAGTTTCTGGAATAATAAACGGTTTTGGCCGCTGCAAATAACACCAAGCGCCTCGTGCGAGAACGGCCGTCGTGAATAATTGTTCCCAATGTCTTTCAAAACTAAGTCGCACCGCTCAGACATACGACTGGGTGTATCTCTTTTACATTTTTCAGGTTGTCCTTAGGATATGTGAACAGTTACAGCAGCACTAAAAATAGAGATTCTACCTTCACCTTTCCAGTTCCACCACCAGATTCCAGCCAGCACAATTTCGCGGTGCTGTAAATGCCAATCTGTTCTTAGGATCGATAAAAAATCGCACCGGTGAAAGACAC